GTAGGAAATCTTTTCAAAGAGACATTTTCAGAATTTTATATTCCCATTTATAATTGTAATGAGTAGATTTATCCTTCAGCGATTACAGGTCAACGAATATTCAGCAAAATATTGTTTATAGACTCCCAAGAATAACAAAATGTTGAATTCTTGATTATTAATATTATTATTTGTACCTTGAGTTCCGAGTTTAGATGAACGTAGAGAAGACACAGATGAAAGATGAATAAACCCAATGCAACGCAACCCAACCCAATCCAACTCAACTCAACCCAACCAACAAAAACAAACACCAATCACCATCAACGGGAGAAATATAAACGAAGTTGTCTCGTTCACATACCTACCTAGATAGGCAACATCTTATCAACCACAGACGGCACAGACACAGATGAGGATGTCAAAGTCAACACCAGAAAGAAAGCAAGACAGGTGTTCATCAACTTGAAATCAGTGTGGAGATTTATTGTACTGTACTAGACTACACTACACTACACTACACAATACCAGACTGCACTGCACTGCACTAGACTGCACTGCACTGGACTGCACTCAGCATGAAGCGTGAACGAGATCCGGATTTCCAACACTAGTATCAATCATGTCAGTGCTTCTCTGTGATGGTTGCGAGACTTGACACGTCATGAAAAGCATTCCCTTCCAACAAACTGCAAAGAAATTTCCTCACCTTTCTGAAAATTTCGTTATCATCAACAGGGAGAGGAGGCAGAAAGTATGCCAGCGAATGATGGAAAGTATTTACAGCTCAGAACAACATCAAATTCACAAGTGAAGAATCAAATAACAGACTTGCATTTTTAGATGTTCTGAACACTGGGACAGATTCGGGAGAAATGGAAACTGAAGTATACAGGAAACCGACTGTCATGGATCAAGCCCTCAACGACAATTACAACAACACAACAACACACAAAATTTGTTGGATAAAAACACTATTCAGAAGAGTGAATACACACTGTGGTACATCAACGCTCCAGAGTAAAAAAGAAGGAAACTGTTTGATGATTATTTTCCTGAAGAATGAGTATCCAAGCAACTTCATGAGGGAATGTTTACATAGTTCGTCATCAAACAAGAAGTCAGCCGCGAAAACTAATTAACAGGTCGTCCCAATCTACATGGAAATATTCTCCGAGATTGAGACTACATTATCGAAGCCACTTGAATTCATCAGTCTATCTCACAGACCTGCAAAATCTCCTCACTCCTTGTTATGCGGGACAAAAGATACAATGCCAAAGGAAGACAAACAAAAGATTAATTACAAAATAAACTGCAGAAATCGCAAAACAATACATCGGACAAATTGGTCACCCTCTTAGGATCCGTTTACATGAACACCAATTAGCAGGGAAGCGTCAAGATATATCTTCGCTCATATCAATGCACATGAACAACTATGAACATGAATCCAGAAATTATTATCATCATTATTATTTCTCCCTTGGATTTCTAGTCAAACATACACTTCAGTAGCACATCACCATTTCACTCTCTTCTCTCCAATCTTTTCATCCTGTCTCAACGACTGCCCACAAGCTTCCATTTCTTCCTCACACCATCTCCTCCTCGTCACCCTCTCCTCCGATGCTCAAATCGTCACTTCCCATTTGGCTTCCTCTCAAGAGCATGACTTGACCGGGCACGTGATATCCCCAGTCGGTCCTATCACTGTATCTTCAATACAATCCAATCCATCTCCACTTTCTTCTGCTGCATGTTTGTTGGGTGATGGGTTCTCGATTGGTTGGTTCGTAGCCTGACAGTTATCCATCCATCCATCCAGCCAGCCAGCTAGGCAGCCAGCCACAGTCCCACCTTGCTCATTCGTATTCTTCTGGCCATCCATCTGATCTTCGGTGTCAGTTTCTAGTGAGTGTAGGTGACAGCTGTTCATGTGATGAATGTCTGTAGTTTGTTGGAAGGGAATGCTTTTCATGACGTCATGACGTCAAGTCTCTCAACCATCACATAGAAGAACTGACATGATTGACACTAGTGTTGGAAATCCGGATCTCGTTCACGCTTCATGCTGAGTACAGTCCAGTGCAGTGCAGTGTGGTGTAGTGTAGTGCCGTGCAGTAAATCTCCATACTGATTTCAAGTTGATGAACACCTGTCTTGCTGTCTTTTCGATGCTGAATTTGACATCCTCATATGTGCCTGCACCCCCTGTAGTCGGGACGATACTGCCTAGGTATGTGAAAGAGACTACTTCCTTTAGGTTTCTCCCATCGATGTCGATTGGTGATTTGTGCTTGTTGTGGTTGTTGTTGTTGTTGTTGTTGTTGTTGTTGTTTGGTATCTTCATCTGTCATCTCTATCTTCTCTACCTTCACCTGAAGGAAGTAATGTCTTCCTTCGGTGCTCTACCTCGCCTCTTTTGACAACTTGTCAGTTTTCGCCTGTAGATCTTCGAGTCTGTTCGACAAGATATTTGACATCAATCATCATCAGTGAAATCCAAATCTCCTTCTGGGGTCTTCTCATCTGTCCAGCCAGCGTATACTCACCTTCTCACAGACACACATTTTGTTGCATCATACAGTCCAGTCCAGTTCAGTCCAGTCCAGTAGAACACAACACAATCGGGAATATGATTGGTGATAGTAGACGACAGTTCTGTCTTACTCGTGTCTTCACTTCAACAGCATCACTGAACCTTCCATTGTGAATCACTTGACATGTAGCATGGATGATATGGCGAATAGCTGCTGAATTAGGTTGATGAAAGTTTGTGACACTGAGACCGTAGTGTTGAAGTAGCAGCTGCCTGGCAAACTGCTTCTCTTTTGACGTTGTCGGAGGGTTTTTCGAAGTCAATGAATTTGAGGTTGAGTTGAGTTGACTGTCATTCTATACTCTGTACTTTGATGATGCGTAGCGTAGCGTTTCAACTTGATTCGAACATTTTTTTCTTTCTGAAGCCAACCAGCCTGTTGCAGCCGTAATTTTCAATACACATCATGTTTTAGTGTCTCTAGGATGACAAGGAATAATATTTTCCTTGCTTCAGGTGAACGGTACCATGATTCCGTGCCAGTTTTCACAGAGACCTAGGTGTCCCTTCTTTGGATGTTTGACAACATGGTCCTTCTTCCATTCGACAGGTACCTTTCCTTCCTTCCTTCTAAACCTTCTGTATTAGTGGTATGAGCGTGTCCGATCAATTCGGTCCAAGCAACGACGGTATCATATAAAAACATGTATACTAAAAACTATACCCGTCGCACAAGAAGTGGCTATCGTAGCTCGGTGGTATGGTGGATAACGCGCTGGCATTTGTAGCGATCGCTCCCAAGTCCGAATTTCGGCGGGAACAACACTCACTGGGAAGCAGGTACATCCGGCTGACGAGTCCCAAATAGGACGAAATGCGCACCCTGGATTCCACTGCTAGCCATGATCCATCATTAACATAATTAGATTACTGGCAATATCGAGGCATCCTCACAGCAGTCCATATGCCAATAGAGACCTATCAATTCAGTCCAATCAACGACGATATCATGTAAATACAATTATACTATTTGATATAATGTTATCAGGTCTGTCTCTCCTACCAGCAGCCTATTCTGCTTCACTTGCCAGTGTGCCGTAGAAGTGTCTTTTGTCTTTGCGTGCACTCATCTTCACTTCTTTGTCCTTTGTCTTATACATTATACTCAGTTCATCTTCTCGTCGTTCATCCTTGCACTGGTTTATCTTCTGCTTCACCATCCTACTCTCTTTGCTGTATCAGCTTCCATGTGTCCGTCGAGATCCATTCCTTGTCCTGTCTTGCTTCTTCTCCTTTCTTATAAGGTTATACAGGTTTCTTTCCACTTAGCTTCCAAAGAGTTTCAGTGTTCTATACGGATGTTGCTTAATGTCCTCCATTTTGTCCTCATGACTGACTGAAGTGAAGATGTCTTCTGTAGTTTCTTCCTTGAGTTTCTGTTCTAAGTGTTGAAGTTGAACTCAGAAACTTGAATTCTTGAACATTCGGTTAACTCTGATCCCTTTGTTTCACAAAAATATTCCTTCATACCTATTTTTACAATAAAATCAAACTTATTAAAAACGAGTGCCAACTAGTCACCCGAGTTCAGCTTAGGCCTTGAAAAAGCATCTGCTCATGCATGATCTCTGTTTTCAAAACAATTGCCTGCAAATGATCATTATAACCATCTTTCATTTTCTACTTATCAATATCATTATTTTCATTCTCATCTCCTCATCTCTTTAGGGTTTAATTTCAATAGTATTGTCTCACTTTCCCTTACTTCTCAAATTAGTTTCTGTACTACTATGCATTCACTTTGTAATTCAAAAATAACTCACTAATTACTTTTGTGATGACCTTCTGTTGACCTATTAGTAACCGATACAAGTCAGCTAACCAGATTCAGGTGGTCTGGAACTTAATCTGTATACACTTGTGATGATCACAATCTTAAACGATCAGAACGGCGTCTGGTCTTTAAATCACTCTGATCTCGATGACGAAATGTGTAGGTCAACCTAATTCTCTTCTAAGTACTCAAATTATTGTTCATCATAACCTACAAATCTCAATGTAGAGTTTTGAAGTATGTGATTCATCTAAAAGAGAATTTTCTTCACCGAATTGTTAGTTTTATTAAGATTTTATAAATCACTAATATGTATCAGATATTATCTGATATATCGATATTTGGTCTTCTAACAAATTACAAATGATACACATTATCGGTGACAAATATTGAACCGGTAACCTTCGAGTAACATTTAAATAAGTTAAGGATACAATAGGTCTCACTCTTGATCGGTTAAAAATCCTTGACTTTAGAAGAGAAGCGCTCTTGTCAATTTAAACGACTAAATGATAGGTTGATACCGATTAAGTTATTGTTTATGTGTTGAATTTCACTGCCTTTTTCTATCTTTCCTGATCTCATAGTTTCTAAGTGCTACCTAAAATAAGTTAACATGATATTTCACACTCTTTTGCATTTCAGAATTCAACGGATAAATCCCAGCCATCAAAAGTATTGGATAGAAATCCTTATATCGGATCCGGTTTCATTCCAGGTTGGCCATTGTATGCATGGACTCCAATAAGTTCACCTGGAAAAGATAATCCTTATGAAAAGCCAGTAGACAGTAATTTTCCTCAACAAGGTAAATACGGGTAAACTCTTAGTATATTGTTCCCTATTGATATGAATGATGGATTATGGCTGGGGTTGGAATCGAGTACACCCGTTTATTCTTATTTAGGATTTGTCAGCTGGGTGTACTTGCCTCCCGCCAGGAGTCGGCCTTAGGACCAGTTGCTTCAAGTGCCACTGGGGTATCTACTGAGTAACGACAACCACTCCTTGTGCGACAGGTTTTGATGTTGTGGTTTGTGAATTTCCGACCTTCTTGCTCCCACCGCTAGCCATTGTTAATCTTTAATATCAAGATTGAGAATATTGGCAATATCGAGGTATCTGGACAGTTAACTTAATGCCAATAGTGTAGAATCAGTTCTATCCAGTCAAAGACGGAGATTCACATGCCACTGTCTATGTTCAGATGGAAATGTTTTTTAACCTTTGTTAGGCGTAGAGATTTCACTTGTGTTTTATCCGTCGTCTTGCATCAAGGCTGGAAATTCATATTGATTTGAATGCCACTGAAAGCTATTCCCTGAGACCATCAGCTGGAGTAATACTTCTACATCTTAGATTACGAATATTCTTTGGTATGTTCATTGAGCTATTCATTTCATATTGACAATATTCTTAAGTAACTGACTCAGTTGAAATTCTTTCCAAGATCGTACAGTTCTTGACTTATTTCAACTTTCCAACAAGCTGGGTTAGCTCTTTATGTCTCAGTTGTTTCAGAAAGAAAACTGTTCAGAACTGCTCCACTTTTAGTATTATGTTGTTAATACACTTGAAATTTCAAGGATTAGTCGTGTGGATTGTTTTCATGACAAACTGCAGTTAGTATAATTGTTTTCTACATGATACCGTCGTTGATTGGACCGAATTGATAGGTCTCTATTGGCATATGGGCTCCTGTGTGAATGCCTCGATATTGCCAGTAATCTAATTATGTTAATGATGGATCATGGCTAGCAGTGGAATCCAGGGTGCGCATTTCGCCCTATTTGGGACAGTGGGTACAACATCACTCATTAGGAAGCGGGTACATCCAGCTGACGAGTCCCAAATAGGACAAAATGTGCATTCTGGATTCCACTGCTAGCCACGATCCATCATTAAAACTGCATTTAGATAGAGAAAAACTGTAGGTTTCTAGGTGGTAACTAGCTGTTTCATTAGCGTATCTTGAGATTTAAATGATCTGCTTGTCCTATTTCTAAGGCTCTGTATATAGATAGGTTTCGTGAATCAGTTGAATTATTCATCGTCAAAATTAGCTGTTAACATAATCTACAGGGCATGATTAGCACCGTTGAGTACAAAATATGACTTTAGCTATTGTATAAGGGCCACCTTATCTCTCTGTATACTGAAATATGTCCCAAATATTCAAATAAGCATGGAAGGCAATAACCAAACAAAATAACTTATTGAAATACCTTTCTCATAGATCATACAGCCTCTGTAGGTGACATGATTCAAAAGCAATACACCAAGATTATTCTCTGTTGTGTAATGTAGTTCATTCTGCTCACCTAAAGTAAAAGAATATTTATCTTCCCAAACACTTCTCTGTTGAAGTGAAACGTTAATCCATACTATTTTCGTTGATTCATTTATCAATTGTTGAATGCTGTAATAGAGTACTCTTTGAATGATTGTAGATTATGCATCAGCCTTAATTAACTACGACACGTGATAGACTTTTATTTTATCAGTTCTCACTATCCACTGATGTTAGTAATTCCTCTTTGTTACACTGGATCGAATTCCTCGACCACTGTTGTCAGATGAGTTTCAATGCGGTCGCCTCAATAACGTGTGAGGACTCATTTTCTTGTAATTGACTTGCTAGCTAATGGTAGAATTCACGATGCATGTCCTAAGACTCGTAAGCTGGATGTTTCTGCACCCCAGTGAATGGTAATGCTCCAATTCAGAAAGTAAACAATATAATTTTCTCAACAACGACTCATTCTCACGATTAAGTTTAACGATGGAAACATATTTGTGTTTACTGGAAAAACACGAAAGCTAACAAGGCGTACTGTTAAATAACGTGTTACATACTCATCAGTAACATAAGCCACCAGGTTCTATGAAACCAGTGAGTGTAATCCGAGGACAAATAGGTAATATCAATATAGGACATGGTATTACTGAACATCATTCCAAGCTCCAAATTTCATATCAAAGAATCAAGCAAGAATGCATCAAGTTGGAAAACTAAGAACTAAACAAGGAAACAGTCAATAGGGGTAGAGAGTTGTCAGAAGAGAGGAAGTACAAACGACAGAATACTGAAATTCAGTATGATGATGTAGATGAAGATAATGTGTAACTACATCTTCACCAGTTGGTCCGATTCGGAATCATGTAACCTAGAGTTTCCTTCATACGCCCCAGACGAGTTGGTAAAGACTTCATGGCCTGATGACCTGTTTTAACTGGACCGCGAATAAAGCTTCGCATTTTCTACCTCCTTTAGCCAACAATGTGCAATAGTGCACAGTCTGAAGAGGTATGTGTTACACATGTTCCAGCTACCTGAGTCGATTGGGGTTGAACGTCATTGATGGGACAACCTTCCTTTTCTACTTGACTTCTGTGTTACTGACATGTTTGTTCCACAGTACACTGCCTATCCCTAGAAGACTTGATGCCTTCTCATGTCCTTTACCTGTAAGGACCATGTTTCACAACCATATGACGGTGCACAGTATAACTTTATTTAAAGATCCCCATAGATTATTCAGAACGAGAATAATTTGAGCGAACAGTTGTTCTCAATAACTTCTTCCAGCTATAAAGTTATAAATCCATAAGAATAAGTGAAATACAATAACCGAAATAAGGCATGATGTACAATTTTACCATATTGAGACGATCAGTATTCTGAGTGAATGGAGATCAAATCGAATGGAATGGTTAAAGTGTTGTGTTAGGTGTGCAATGAAATCAATATTGACAGAACAGTTACTAAATAAGGAGATAAAATCTACAGATAATGATTCATTTTCATACATTTATTGCTGAATGGATGTGTATGTATATGTTTGTTTACTAGGAGTCAAATAATAAATATGTAGTGATGGATTATATTCAGGTAGGATGAAAATCATGTGAATACTATGACGAAACACAGAATAACAAGTGTGAAGTATAACGTCGTGGCTGAAAATGACTACAGATTGTAGTATGAATAAAGAAGGGCGTTAAACTAATCACATAAGAAAATGAATGTTTATCAATGTAATCCCAATATAAGAGAAATAAATGGGAGGCTAAAATGCGTAATTCTAGGTAGGAAAGTTCACAAAAACGTATCGACCCTGTTGTGGCCAAAGGTAAACAAAGTGGATGTACATATATTGTTTTTGAACACAAAGGTACGGTTTTCTTGCATGGATGCCTATAGCTTTGGCTATGGATAAGATGAGAAGTCGTGCACCTTTAAGGAGATTGCAAAGGACATAGTATATTACAGAAAAGGCGTAATCTACCTTTATCTGGTGTTCGGTATCTACTGGATGTGAGAGGATTGCACTGCTGATGCTCTTTGTCATCTGTTTCTTTAACCAAGATGGCACATGTTCACAAACACGCATGGATAAAGTCCTTTTGAGTGCGATCTATGTAACTAGTTTCACAAGAGCAGATGAACTCATAAATGCACAGTGAAGTGGCCATCATATGTAACCTATCCTTAGTTCACTGTGTCAGTAATGGTTTGTTTGAGAAGCTGACAAAATGTTTCACTGCAATGAATGTCCTTTCGACTGATCTGCTCAATGGATGCATTAAGACATCCATGGCAATATCACCTTTGAAACTTTGTCTAAGATATATAGGCTTCTTTGCAACATTGTCTTTCTTTATCTACTCTCTAGGTTTCGACATGTATTTATTTATGAAGTTTAGTGGATAATCATTTTACTACAATATTATCTTCAGCTTATTCATTTCTTCTTCAACATAGTCATCATAACAAATGTTTCTTATTTTGTAACTCAGGCAATTGACCAGATTTCTTTTATATTGAGTCAGTATGAGGCAATAACAATAGACCAACTACAAGATATACCTCCACTTTCAAACTAAACTTTCTACGGCATTTTGAGGAAGTTGTGGAGATTCGGAAATATTTCAAGTTCTTATTCATCGTAGACTGACATCAGTTGGGGGAATAAAGGAAACCTGAGAGCATTGGACAGCTGTTTCGACACACTAGTATGGGACTCCTTAACAGTGCGCACCCACGACCCCACCAGCAGGGACCGAACCCGCGACCTTCAGATTCCGCGGCCAGCACGTTACCATTGAGCCACTGGGTCAGAATTCAATACTCCCTCAAAATTCAATTGAACTGGTGCTCATTGGTGATCGTGACCGGTGGAGTCAAAGCCTGATGGTCGTGAGGACAGTTACTCAACGACGACATCGGATGGCGGTTGCGCTATATCGTGGGCTAACATAAGTAAGAAATGTGGACGATTGGATTCTGGTCTAGTGGCTCAATGGTAACGTGCTGGCCGCGGAATCTGAAGGTCGCGGGTTCGGTCCCTAGCGGGGTCGTGGGTGCACACTGCTGAGGAGTTCCATACTAGTGTGTCGAAACAGCTGTCCAGTGCTCTCGGGTTTCCTTTATTCCTCCAACTGATGTCAGTCTACGATGAATAACAACTTGAACTATTTCTAAGGCATCCATTTTTCATAGATGTTCTTGAATAGTAAAAAAATTGTCAGTAGCATTAAGCTCCCATATAAGTGAGCTTTACTCGATGGTCAGCTAAACTATCCTCTCCATACAAATTGTTAGATGTTATTCTATAATCAACAGTCTATTTCGTCCGGTTAGTGGATAGGATAAAAGTTAATTCTAAGTATTCATTAAGATCTTTTCTTCACATCTTTTAATATCCTTTTTATGTTTTAGAAATTAATTATGAAGGAAGTGGTTTCCACAATCCAAAAGATTCATTACCACCTTCTGGAGAATATGACTATCCTCAAATGTTTCCTTTCGTGAATATGAATTCTCAAGGATTGAACCTGCCAGTTTTAAGATCAGAAGAAAATGTAACACAAATTTATAGTGATATGGTTAAAAACAGTAGTAATGTATCATCCATAGACTTGTTACATAGGTCAAATAACCAGCAATCAGCAAGTAACTCTACATCTTTAAGAAAAAATAAAAATTTCAATGAGAAGAAGAATTTAGCTGCAACTATTTATACTGAGAAGATAAATTATTATCTCACAGTTATCAGCTTATCTGTGATGTTTTGGATCTCTTCAGTAACTGTATAAATTTGAAAATGTTCGTGATCATTTAATTTTATGGTATTACCTTTCCATTTGTCACATTCATTCACACTAAACAAAATGCACCTACATACAAGCATATGTATGCACACAGACTTATCGTTTAATAGTATCCCTTTTGGATCAAATCACATAAAGTGTACAGTATTACTCCTTTTCTCTTCAAAGATGATACAAGATTATGAATTATTAGCCTATCCATTCATTATATTCTTAAAAAGTTCATCGAAAATGAAAAAAAACGTTCTACCATTCGAATGAATACAAGTCTACACCTAGTCTTACTATGACCTTCAGTATTCTCTCTGTGGTGGTGTAAATGCTTGATTTAGATGCTTTTTCTTTGATTTTACTAAACCCTTTAGAAAAAAATTACAGCTTGATATTATCAGCCTTCACCAAGAATTCATTTAGACTTCCTATTGTTAACGAAGGCAACACATATAGTCACTCACAAAGTATGCATAACCATAAAGAATGGAGAAACAATGTGCATACCTAGACATCTAAATATCATCCAATCATTTTGTTGACTTCAAGGTCAATATCACTTCACTTCTATCGGAATGTCACATTTCATGAAAAATAGGCAAATTTGTTCAACTTTCTTTGCATTTCATTCGAAATTGCTTATAAACTAAATAATGATTTGTAATACACTTAACTACTACGAGCATTCATTACTTAATCTATTGATATGACCTAATTTTACACCTTGCAACTGCAATGTGATTGGCTACCTAGTCAGCCAATAGAAATTTTACAAAGGTGATAAAAAGTTATCTTAACAAAATGTTCTTTTCACTTTGAAAGTGATCTATAGTGAACTGAAAAAAAATATCATTCAGGAAAGAATATAACACTATTTCTTCAATGGGGAATAGTACAATGTATGGATTGTGCGGAAGCAAAAGAATACAATTTCGTCATGTTAAGTACATAGAAGTGAACAACAAGAATCTGTGTTTTTTCTTCTCCTGTTTACATAATTTTAATGATATTCATATCTCGACTCATAATAAGAGGAAAACTAAATAAACAACTTCTGGAAATAGATGCCCAGTTTTTGAAGTAGGTAGTTAGGCAGCAGATATTCCAATAGTGTATTAATATCTCATCCGGTTCATGTATTTAACTGAAATTTCAAAGGACAAATGACTAATATTTATGTTAGTTGAATCACTACCGTTGTTCGAAGCTTCTGGAACCTGCAGAAGTAGATCTCTGATCAAAGAAATAGTAATACATTTATTCATATAGCTGGAACCAACTTGAAAACAATCTGACTGACTTATCTGGTCATTTAATTGTATCCTTGAGGAATACTAGTGAATTGTAATCAAGTTATACTTATCATTGTAGAACTTTTGGAGAAATCTTTCACTGTTGCTACATGAAGTAATTTAGAGATAAAACTAACTTCATATCTGTCTTGTCCTTTGTGCATGGCAACTGATCGAAGTTTGTTAATCAAGTCGTGCAGTGTGACCAGTAAGCGAAATGTCATGATACTGATGTGCATTGTGCTTCAATGTTAGATGACCAGTGTCACTCAACATTGGCTCAACTAGTTTTCGTACCTGTAGGCCCTCACCAACAGGTCGTTCTTGTAAGTATCAGGAAACTGGAGTTTCATGACTTACTACGTAGGGACTATGGATTTCCAACACCAAAATACAGCTCGACGTACTGTTGTGTTGCTTCATTTAGCAGATACAATGCAAAACATAATTAGCAGACTTTGATTTGTGCCAGGCATTCAGGACTACATAGTTAAATCTGTTTCAGACTGATGACAGATTCGTCAACATAGTTCAGTCCCTCAAGAAAACAATCGTGACCTGGGTAGCTTCGCGGTCAAATTTATAACTTAGTCACTTAGTGGCACAGGTTTGAACCATCAAGGGGGCACCGCTTTTTTACAGGATACAGATTCACCTTGCTGATGAGTGCTAACGAGCACAAAGATATTTCATGATGAATACTAACTGTATGTTCCACATTATACAATTAAATCATGCGACATCTTTTTCTACAGAAGTGATCATGAAGAAAATGCGAACAAATAAAGTTGTAATTAATAACTAATTTTTAAGATGTACAGCAGCAGTTACTTCCTTAGATGTCTGGGCCAACTCTTTTTGTTCTGCTTAAGTTTTTCAAGACTCTTTTCAAAAAGTTATGTGAACTCTCATATATCTTTATAGGTTCCTCAGGCTACTGATATAAAGAAGTGATTTACATGTTAGCCTGCCTAAATGATATCGTTTGGTTATTCTAGTTTAGTAGAAGACGAAGATGATGGTTTAGACATAAGTGTTTCTAGACTGTAGTTCATCTCACCAAGAATCAGTAAAGGTAGGCCTAATAAAATGTTTAAATAAACAAGTTAGAAGTGTCTCTAGTAAGTCAAAAAACTTAATGAAATGAAACACATAAATGAAGTTCTCTTTATAATTATCCTCTTAAATTTATTTACAAATACACAAGGGATACATGAAAAAGAGGAGTAGCGATAAAAATAATAATTGGAACGCAACTATGAAGGAGTTCACTATGTCTGCTAGGTTGACATGTAAACAAGGAACACTGAAACGCCTAAGTAGGATCCTCAAGTAGGCTAGGTTCAAGGTGGCATTAAAACCTACAGACTCATTCAGAGAAAAATGTCATCAGTTTGTGGATTATATGGGTCTAACTAGGCAGAATAATGTACGATCGACTGTACAGGGACTACGAGGTCAAGTACATAAGTTTAACTATCTGATACAGGTCAGTCGGGTTACAAGAAAGTAGAAACCCAAACTAGTCTAGAAACTCTACACTGATAGACTCTAATAACATGAGATGAATTGAGTCGTAGCTATGCACGCAATAGCAGACGACCACAAAATACAATGAGACAGAGTAATATTCAAAAAGACTAATGTAGTTAAGTAAAGAGAGAGGGTTGATTACTGAACCTCTGTTCATTGATTAACTGCCTAACACATTTAATAGGAATGATTCAACAACAATTGGAGATAAATGGAAAATCTTACTGCCAATCAAACCAAAAAATGGATAGTAGTTGAACTATGAATAACTGTAGGCAAGAATTTGTATAACTGATTACATTGTGCTCAAAACGTTGTAGCGGTGTGTGTGTTACTATTCCGTAACGTTTATTCAACCCTACTTAACTTGATATGCTCTAGCACCGGCTTAACCAGTACCTTACCTAACATGTAAGTACTGATAACGAAACAAAGACCAAAAAAAAACTGATTTTAGGAATATATTCGAAGAATTAATATATTTATTTAGAATAAATGTATTAGTAATGAACAAGAGAAAAGTTTATTCAACTTTTCTGGCTAGTATGGCTGAACTAGAGACTCTGAGTACGTACGTGATAACCAGCACAAAAGGAGCGCAAAATGCCGCTGAAGTCTGCTGGGATGCATGCTCGTTAAAACAAAACTTAAAACACCTAAAGCATTCAGAGGCGACCTAGGAGTTTATTTAGCTAGTTTAATTTAATCTTTTTATTTTAGCCTTAGTTGTATATTGGTCCCAGGAAGGTACACTACAACGTCATCTAGTGAATGACACCTCACCAGTGAGTTCTGTTTCAAATAGACTAATCTATTATGAAGTTAAATGGGTATTTTTATCCCGTGACCTAAAATTGATTGCAAACATGCAATTCATAAATGGTTATGAATTGTTGGAGAATTTTTGTAACTCCGGTGGATAATCGTGGTAGTATTCTGTTCTCTGATTTGGATTAATGATAAAACAATCAAAGGAAGTAACCAATCGCATACCAGTTCATCACGCGCAAGATACTGAGTCACTCACGGAGAGGTATCGACAGCTAAATAAATGTTGAAGTTAATGCTGATGATGTCGTCTAGAAAGACGGTGAAAACTCCAGAGTTAAACAACCCAGCTGAGAGAACACATTACAATCAAGGTAATGAAGTGTGAAGTTTGTAAACCAATCTTAAAACTATTATTATTAATATTTTCCCCTTGAGTTCCTAGTGAAACATAGGGATTCAGTAGCAGGTCTCCATTCAACTCTCTTCTCTGATGTCTTGTTAACCTGGCTCCACGACTACCCACAAGCTTTCATTCCTTCCTCACATGATCTCCTCGATGTCACCCACAGCTAGGAAGCACAACTCGTCACTTCCCTTCTGGATTTCACTCGACGGCCTGGTGTGTGATGTCCCCGAGTGATCTTCTCGGCGTATACTGGATCCATTCCATCTCTACATTCTTCTGCATATTTCTTGTGTCATGTGTTCTTGGTTGGTTCGTTACCAGCCAGTAGCACGCCTCCATTGCACTCTGTTCTTTGCAGCCTTTTGAACATGGCTCCATGACTCCCCTCAATAAGGTGGTTTGTAAACAGTTTTCATCATGATTGCACTCAGTTCCTCGAAGAACAACTCACAAGTGAAACTATTCAAGAGACAGAATACTGCAACATTTGATATATTATTGTATTTACAAATATTCACATCAATAAGTTCGTATTTTAACTCAGATATATTTTATTGACAGGCTGTAAAACAATCACTTCAAATAAGCAATAAATAACATTTATCACTTTCCTGCTCATCATATTCTTCCTAAATAATGTTAAACTTTACTGCAGTGAAAAGTATCTCAAAAAAGCATCCAATTTCTTGATTAACGTTCATTTAGGAGTGAATCACCTTTCACACTTGTATTTATCAGCCTCATAAACTTTCTTATTAGCATATAAAATAGTTTACGAAAGTCTTTGATGCAAATAAGACTAGAAACATTCCAACACAATAGAAGAACCCAGATAAAATTATGCTCCACCTTAGTGCTGATGTACTACTTTAGTAGAAATGAGACCAACAGGAGAAGAGAACCATCCATTTGGCATATTTCATTTAACCATTCATAAACAGATGGTCTTCTTATCTCTCTACTAAGGGTCAGTGCGAACAGAGTTTCAGATCATGCTTCATTTTGTATTCAATGACAAAATATTATATGACCTATGGAAAAGTCATTTCAGGTGGCGAGACAACAATTTTTGTAGCAAAATATTACACTGACAGTGTGATATCAGTATTATTATTATTTGTCCTTTGGGTTCCTAGTGGAACATAGGGATTCGGTAGCATGCCTCCATTCCACTATGTTCTCTGCAGTCTTTTCAACCTGGCTCCACGACTCCCCACAGGCATTCGTTTCTTCTTCACATGATCTCCTCTATGTCACCCTCACCTGGAAAGCCCAACTCGTCGTTTCGCATCTGGGTTCCACTCGAAGGCCTGGACTGGAGCGTGATGTCCCCAGTCGGCCTTCTCAGTGCATGCCCATTCCAATCCATCTCCACTTCCTTCTGTTGTATATTTGTTGAGTGATAGCTTCTTGGTTGGTTCGTTGACAGCCAGCCAGTTAGAGTTCCTTGTTGCTTATTCTTATAATTCTGGCTATCTGATCTTCAGTATCGAGCCAGAGTAGATGGCAGCTATTGATGAATACCTGTAGTTTTTTGGAAATGCTTTTTGTGACACACCAAGTTTCTGAACCATATAGGAGCACTGATTTGAGTCGATCGGTGTTGAATATCTGGATGTTATTCACACTTTATGCTGAGTGCAGTGCATAAGATCTCCACACTGATTTCAGATTCATGAAAACATCCTGGTTTTGACATCCTCGTCTGTGCCACTGCGTGTAACTGAAACTATACTGCCTAGGCAGGTAAGTTGGTGAAAGAGACTACTTCCTTTAGATTTCTCCCATTAATGATGATTAATCTAAAAATAGCTTCAGAAAACTTTTGAAACAGTGGATATTGTTTGCTACCATAGTAAAAGTTACGAATGTCAAAAAATGGGGGTTAGATAGGAGTCTGTCTCTACTTTGGTCAAAGTTTTGGATTGGTAAATAATTAGAAAAACTTTTTTATTGAGAGTAGTTTGTATCTCAATTCTCACTATGGTTCAAAGTCTGAAGAATTGATAATCTCTTTATTCCACAAATAACCAACTACTTTCCAATTTGTTAAATT